ACAGGGCGACCAGGAGGGGAAGTATCCTGTCTCATAATAAGCGGGTTTAAATACTCCATGGCAGGTTGACCTGGCCATCGGTCGTCCCATAGCTGGACAATGCCGTTGCGCCGGCCTACCAATAGGCCAAGTCGGCTGTTTGCCCCTGGGCCTGCCAAGCACTGAAGGCTAGTTACCTCAGCCTGGCTTCCACCATGGCTCTGTCGGGTATCCCGACGTAGTTGAAATTTTATCAGGCATTTTGCGTGTTGGGAGTGACTTGGGAACTCACAAAGCCCCAATAATGGATAGCCTGTCGGCGACTGGAATCCAATGTAGGCCTGTATAGAGACAGAGGCTGGGGCAGTCGAGAGCCAAGGCATGAGACTAAGGCTGTTAGCACAGCATACGGCAGTGTTATGCAATGGAGCACAAGCATCCGGCATACATGGACTGACCCATCGTTGAACGCTATATCCATCAGTGACAAAGAGATGGTGAGGGGAGAAAAATATTATAGGCCGATCAGCGTGATTCAGAGTTGCTGAATTGAAATCGTCTGTGGATGGAGTGTCGCTAGATGTCAGACCTCCAAAATTAGCTTCATCAGAGTTTCTAGCGTCATCACAGGGAAAGTGGAGAGAGTCACTCGTGACAGCCGGAAATTGAATGCTGGAGGCAAACATGTACCAGGGTGCTTGGCGATAGGACAGCTGTATGTCTTCTAGAAGGATGTACTTTTTTCCTATATTGGATGTATGGAGTATGTTAGTAAAGTGAAAAGATTACTGATAAAATAATTTACAACTTGAAATTTAATTTTTATAGCCTAAAATACAAGATAAACTTGTTAGCTTACCTGAGCAGAGATATGTGAGGAGGACTGGAGTTCTTCCAAGCTTTCCGAGAACAATCATTTTCTTGCCTGTTTGAATCCACTCCATATCCATGTATCTCACATTAGGCATCAGATTTTCATCATTTAAATTGACTGGTTGAGTTATAAATCGAATTCTACCAGGGCTTTTGCGAATTTTCTTGTTGCGGTGAGAATCTTCTTCACCTGAGTTCCAGGAAAGTCGATATTGTTGAATTATAGCGTTCATGCCACTATTTTCCATTAGATATATTCTGCTTCCGTTATGAGAGTGAAGCACTTTAGGTATATATCGAGTGGAGACCAAAGGAATGGTCTGTCGAACTTGAATTTTGGATAAATGTGCGCGGTGATAAGAAGCTGAAATTTCGATACAAAACGGTTGTATGAGTGCTAATTTAAGACTGACATTCCTGGCTTTATTACAATATTAGTAAAAGTGATCAGCAAGTTTGTATATCTTCATAATGATATTTTCATAAAAGAGTAATTGTCTTCAGAAAAAGACAAAAGCACCAGGACAAAAATTGGAATTCAGAATAATAAAAGGATTTTCCGCTTTATGCAAACTGATTTAGAGCAGACTCGTTATCGTTAAGATATATTAGATGTTATTATTTACCCTAGGTAAATGAAAAGGAATTGGAATGATCTTCGAATAAATCAATACTGCAAACACCGTTTCAAGCTAATAGGAAATGCCTAAACGATCTGATTTAAGATGTTTGTAACAATCATCACACATTGATAGCATTGCAAGTCAATTAATCTTATGCATTCTTAACATTTTTGTGTTTAGAAGGGAAATTATCGAATTTGCTGGAGTTTACCATATTTCAGAAGGATGTCGGTCACCAGCCCAGCCTTCTGAAGTTGTGCGAACGTAGTTGCGGAAGATTTGGCAATGTCCATTGGAATATATTCAGTTTATAAGTAGGTTCTCGAGACTACCAGTAGTTCTTATATAAGAATTGTATTCACTTTATTTCGGTTAGGGCAACCAAAGACCGGTAGCTATCTTTTCCTAAAATGAGATAAAGCCTAATTTTTCCATTGAAATCCACATAGCCTTGCTTCCAAAATGGTATTTTTATTCAGGATAGACTTTAGTTTCAGCCTAGCCTAGGTAGCATCAGCATTTTCCACGAGTCTCGAATTTCGATAATGCAACGTAAAGTATAGACACGTTAACCACCACCTCTAGATCGTTTTGAGTTATAAGGCAAAAGTGAATTTTAAGGAAGCCAGGATATAGTTATAAGCTCGTCAGAAGTAAGCGTAGCACTACCAGGGTTCGAGTCCTAATAGGGATGAATAAGAGACCTAGTCGAGTTCGAAATTGCAGTCAATTCTGGACAAGAATACCTTCTGGGAAGGCTGTAAGTAAATGTATACATGAGGCTTACTCATGTAATTGTAGGAAAATTTAACAAAATAAGATGAATGCAGAGCTTACACAAAGGAATATTTAATCGCAGGAAGATGTTTAACTAATAAGAGTATTTTTTCTCCTAAAATAAAAGTTACGCACTGCAAGGCAGTATCCAATGCTATGCTGTATGAACTCAACAATTTCTACTGAATTAATGAAAAAATGAGTTAAAAGGCAAATGTTCATCCTGAAAATTGAAAGTATATGAGATCTGGTAAACACATGAAAGCTGAAAAATTGAGCTGATGTTAAAAAAGCAGTCGAGTAGGGGAAGACAACTAAAATCACAAGCCAACAACTCGGAAACCATTAATCTAATAGATAAATACGAACACACAACATAAAGAGCAGAGATCTTTTCCAGAGATAAGCTGGCCTTGTGCAAACTGATTAAGAAAGTCAACAGAGGATGAGTCATAGGACTCTGTTTAAAAAAACGAAGGACAAATACTAAATATGCTTCTAGGCGAAGCGGATTCAATAAAGAGTTAAGCACCAGATCATATTAACATAAAGAAAATAACGAAGGTATTCAGACCAAGATAGTGTGGCTTTGTCTCTGGCGAGTTTTAGTATGGTGCTAAGAATGGAAGTACTCACTGACGATGATTACGAAACGCCTACTAATGCACAAAGCCCACGGTCTAAATCAGGAAATTATCATGCATACCACGGTCTCCGAACAAGATGCTTTTATCTATATCATCCTGTAAATATGATAGAGGAACGAAAAGAAGGTAAACCAAGTTCTATAAAGAAAATTGTTACTTCATATAAAGAAAGTGATGACAATAC